AGGTTTTGGGGGTTGTGGGAGGGTGCACTGCAGGGAGCTTCTTGGGGCTTTGATGGTCTTTCGGGCCCCTGACATTTCGGAGACTTGCGAGTTTTCAAGATCCCCAAAGCCCGTGAAAGGACAAATAGTCCTCAACTTGGTGGACTTCCTGCATGAGTGATCTGGCATGCTGGAGCCCTCCATCGCCATCCCAAACTCAAACCTGCATTCACCCCTGCACGCCCCAAACCGCTGAACATCTGACACACCCTACAAGCCACTACGCAAAAACCCTGGGAGGAACGCACAACAAAAGGTCAGGGGGCTGTGTGGGAACTGGGGGCGGTCGTCCAGGTTGCGAAGGGCCCAGCCCTGCTCCAGGCTCCTCCTGCACTTGGGAGGCTTGGGGCCTCTCTGCGACCGTTGAAAACTCAACCCTAAACGGCCCTAAACTCTACATCCCAAAAGCTAGACGGATTGACAGCATAAACGGCATAAACTCCGAGTTCTAAACCCTCTCTGAATGAGCTTAGGATTCAGGGCTGAGGCTTCCGGGATTCCGAGTTCAGGCTTGAGGCTTTGGGCGTCCACTTCGGCTTCGGAGCTCTAAGGTTCCACCATTTGAGGATCACGGCTCCAGGATTCTGGGAGTTCGGCTTAGGCTTTTGTTTGTTGGGCTCTTTTCTATCACCGCTGTTATGAGCTTGACATTCCCAAAGCGAGCAAGAGCCATAGGGTTGGTTTTTGGGGGATTCTCGTTCAGGGTTTAAGGCCTAGAACCCAAAGCCCCGAATCCTGAAACCTGTCAGCCCTCAAAGAGCGATGTTCGACATGCTAGCATGCTGGGGAGGATATAGGTAGTTCTCTAAATTAGGGTACCTTATTGTGGGGTCCTTATGATAGGGATCCTATTATTTAGGGTACTATATTAGGGTCCCATATTTTCGGAAACCCCCATATCATTCCCTGCAACCTCAAGCCCCCGTTAGACTGCTCGTCCCGTGCCTCCTGGAGTCCTGGTCAGGCGCCTGGAGGCGCCCTGAGAAGACTCCGAGGACCCAGCGAGCCTGATGGCTTGAAGCTTTACGGCTTCGGGTGTATAGTGTAGGGCGCGAGGTCTGGGCTAGGTCTGTGGTTTCTTGGTCTTTTTGGCAGGCACAACTTGTCCTTCGCGCCTGCAGCTCCATGACAGCAAAGTAGGGGCCGCGGTAGAGGCCCACGAAAGCCAGGTCTGGAAACTCCTCCGAAGTCCACAAACAAGACCCAGAACGATAAGGTAGGACCTCATCACCACCACCATCAGCATCATCGCCATCATCGGCATCATCGCATAATCCTCACCACGGCCATGCATCCAGACAACCTCCAGGAGCGAAGCCTTCAACAAGCCCCCAGGAGGCCGCAGAAGCTTCCTTCGAGCTGTTTAGGGCTGAAGGTTTAGGGTTTAGGGGTTTAGGGTTTAGGTTTAGGGGTTTAGGGTTTAAGGTTTAGGGTTTAGGGGTTTAGGGGTTTAGGGGTTTAGGGGCTCCTCCGGTGGCCACACGGCATGGCTTAGAATCACCGGCTGCAGCTGGTCTCGCGCCAGGTGGATGGCCTCCTTCACCTCCGGCTGTGGCTTTGGAGTTCAGAAAGTTTCGGTGCGGGAAAGGCCGATTCCATCCTGGAGCTGGGCATGTCTTCTCGGATTCAGGCAGACGACTAAGACTGTGACTATGTGACTTCATACTTGGTATGAGAGAAACTTCCATGGACGGAAGACTCGTACCCTCTACGGGAATCGAGCTTAATATACTATAGACTATGATGCATTACAAGATCTCACCTCCGGGCCCAGGAATGGCAAGTCCAAGTCGTAGCCCGTCGCGACCAAGATGACCTCGAAGTCCTCTGTGAACGGCTCAGGCTTCCCTATCCAGATCTCGGGCTAACACTAGCAGCAACAACTTGAGCTTCAAATTTCAACTTTCCCGGTCCTCCGACGAGCCGTCCGTGAAGTAAACGGTCGACCCGCTGACCTTGCTGACCTTCTCCGCAACCGACAGCGCACCCGCCAGAACCGCCTCGGGGAAGTGGTCGCTGATGCAAACGAAGGGAGGCCGGCTCCAGTCACTGGGAGCTCGCAGGGCTGTGGGCATCTCTGCAACCTGAGACAGAAACTGGTGCCTCTGACGATAGCTCTCCTCAGCCGACTGCTTCGGCTTAGGCTTCCGGTTGTAGAACGCCAGGTCCGCAGGAATGCCTTTCAGGTAGCGTGGGATGTACCACATCGGCTGGCCACAGGCTATGGTGACGGAAGCATTGCCAGAGAGGTCCACCGCTATATCAGCACCACTGAAAGCAGAGCCAACAACCAGCACTTTCCTCGGTGGAACGGTTTCTTACGACAACATACGTACGATAAGATACCACAAGTGTAGCACACCAGAGTATACAACGCTTCACCATAATGTATGAGCTCTACACAACATCCCTAGGACGCGCGGCAGCAGATCGCGGTCAGCCCAAAACGTTCTTCCGAGGCTCCTCCCGGTGAAGTCCTCGGGCTTCCGGTAGTCGGCCGCATGACGCCTGGGCTCTGGAAAAAATGAAACCTAGGGACACAAGATTCATTCTGCAAGTGTCTAATCTACAACTCAGTTCTTTACATCCTTGTGCTGGGCTCTTGAAAAATGAGAGCTAACTTCGGCTACCAGAAGAGAGGGAATGCACAAGACTGATTCGGTAACTTTTTAATCTAAAACTGACTTCCTTACATCCTTGTGCAACCCCATGACATGCACAAGACCGTCAATTTGATAGTTCTTTAAACAAGAGATCCTTGTGCAACCCCACGACATCCACAGAACCGTCCTTTTCATTGAGTTCCCTAACCCTAAACCCCAAACCCTAAACCCTAAACCCCTGAGCCAAGACGCACAAGCCCAGGGAAGCTGTCCAGGCCCGGCAGGTCGAGGTGAGCCTTCTCGAAGATGCCTTGGGCTCTTGAGGAACTTTCAGGGTTTCGGGTTTCAGGTTTGGGGCTCAGGGTTTCCGGTTTAGGGTTTCAGGTTTAGGGCTCAGGGTTTAGGGTTTAGGGTTTGAGGTTTGGGGCTCAGGGTTTAGGGTTTAGGGTTTCAGGTTTGGGGCTCAGGGTTTGGGGTTTAGGGTTTCAGGTTTGGGGCTCAGGGTTTGGAGTGTAGGGTTTCAGGTTTGGGGCTCAGGGTTTCGGGTTTAGGGTTTCAGGTTTGGGGCTCAGGGTTTGGGGTGTAGGGTTTCAGGTTTGGGGCTCAGGGTTTCGGGTTTCGGGTTTCAGGTTTGGGGCTCAGGGTTTCGGGTTTAGGGTTTCAGGTTTGGGGCTCAGGGTTTCGGGTTTAGGGTTTCAGGTTAGGGGTTCAGGGTTTCGGGTTTTGGGTTTCAGGTTTGGGGTTTAGGGTTTCGGGTTTCAGGTTTGGGGTTTCGGGTTTTGGGCTCAGGGTTTAGGTTAAGTGATAGTAAGATGCATGAAAATGACTTATAACAGAACCAAGAATGGGACCATTTTCATAAGAACCATCCTCGTGGTCATAGCAACGATAAATTCTGGCGGCAGTACCAGATCACTAAATACTGGAAAGCAGAAATGCAAACAATGTGGGAGAGAATTATGCAATCACTACAGATAGATATATATATATATATATCCCCAGTATGCGATCCTAAGTGAAGCCCCTCAAAAAGAGCCCAGATGCCGCTGGCAATCACCACGTGTTTGAAGAGCTTCTGCTTCATCTCACCGGCCTCCCTCCAAGTCAGCTGCCATCCGCACCTCGCCTCATCCTCGGCCCTCACCCGCGTCAATGCGGTGACCTCGCAGGAAAGGTGGAGATGCGGCCGGAGGCCCTCGGCGAAGCGCTCCAGGTATCGGCAGACCTCCGCGGCCTTCGGAAAGGTCTCTGCCTCCTGGGGCCAGGGGAAGTCCGAGAAGGCGCAGGTGTACTTGGACAAGTTCGTCCGCAGGGACTCCCAGACCTTACCCTCCATGGGGCGCCAGAGGCCACCCACATCTGCACTCTTCTCGAAGACGCTGGGCCTTTCATCTGACAGTCTTAGAGCTCGAAAAAAGAGACAGAATGCACAGTCTACGACGAGAAGGACCCGCACCTGGTGGAGCCCCCTGTTTTTTGATATCAACTAACTAGCCGTTTTTTGGACTCCGGCGGCAGCCTGAGGCCCTCCTCCAGCGCCGCCTTGCAGGCGGCCAAGCCTGAGGGGCCGGCGCCGACGATGGCCACCCCTTTCGCCTCCATGGGCGCCGGAGCGGAGGTGATGGCGCGCCCGAGCCGCAGAAGCCGAAGCCCCGGACCTCCGGGTCTCATGGCGCAGGGGACTCGGACTTGAGCCAAGGAGTACTGCCGTGTCCAGAATGCAGTCGGCTCCAGGAGACGCTTGAGGGTTGTGGGCTTCGGGACTTTCGCAAGGTGTATGCTTGAAGGAATTTTGTATTCGAGCCTGGAAGCTCAGCGCCTAAAGCTGAGCATCCGAAGTTGATTTCAATGTGCGAATTAAGGTCGCTGCGCGGGCAGCCGAACAAGGCTGAGACACAAGGATGCTCCTGTGCATTCTGCTTGGGTATGTGCGTTGCACACATTCGACTTGCTGCAAGCCTCGTTCTAAATTTGTAGCAGACTCGCACGAACCGCAAACGCAAAAGAGAAAGTGCAACTGGTCTTTCCGTCGCAAGACACGAGCTCGGCTCTTCAGACAGGTCGAAGCAAGGCAACTCCAGTCTTCACTTCGCAAAGCACGTGAGCGGCAGCACTGGGGAAAATCTCGATAAGGTGCAGATCTATGCATCTGCTAATGCTGAATGTCGAAAAACGCCGAAAAGCTCTGTGAGCCATTGATTTCGGGGTTGGGTTGTTCACTTGTCTATCTGGACTGCTCTATCACTCCACATCTGGACAAACACTGTAATCATTGGGGATGAGTTGGTATCTGGCATGGAGGAGGCCACAACTGGCCAAGAGGTTTAGGGTTTAGGGTTTTGGTTTAGGGTTTAGGGTTTAGGGTTTAGGGTTACTGCATGAAGGCCCAGGAGTGAGCGGCCGCCATGATGCAGACTGCCAGGGGCAGGATCTGCTTCTGAGTACGTTCCATGTTCCTCGGCGGCAGCTGCGGATCGTCGAAGAAACTTGCTGGTAGGAAGACAAAGAAGCTAGGTCTGCTAATCGGTGGGATACTTGCACAAACTAGTATAGAAACCCTACTGTCTACTATATAGGCGGCACTTAGGACTCACGACCCTTTGGGGAAAGGCTGCTAAGTGATACAGGAAGAGAAATGGAAAACGTCTGCCGATTCTTAGCAAACTTGGTGCTTGGCGGTACAAGCCTTTCTTGGTCCGGGCCCGAAAATGCAGCATCCAAAAAGGGTAAGCCAAAAATAATGTCAAGGGTGAGCCCTTAGCTGAGCCAAGCTGCTCTTTGATGGGAGCAGCCATTTCAGCAGGGATGGCGCGCCAACCTTTTCCGTCTGGATTCCAGGTCGGCGAATCCTCCGTACACCGTCCTTGTCAACAGAGGCTTTATCCGGTGAAAGATTTGGTGCGGGGCTTGCGGGTCGAGGGGACATAGCTGTGTGATCTCGATATTAACATGTCCATGCCTCATTGTCCGTAGTAGCCGGTGATCAGCCACATCGCGCCGGTGAAAGCCACCGCAGCCACGCCAAGGAAGGTGAGGATGGCATGGAGGGTGGAAGACGATGCGCCCTTTCGAACGGCAGCAAAGTGAATAGCTGCATAGGAGTCCACGAGACCTTTCGAGACGCGCACCGCCCGATTCGCGCAGGAGGTCGCCACCATCGTGGATTTCGCCGACATGACCTGGCGCTGCTCATCAATGGCTCCTTCTGCGGAGGTGGTGGTCAAGCCAGCTAAGGCCAACATCAATCCTATGCCAAATCCTGTCGCGGTGGGTGCCGATGAAAACGACGTGAGAATCAAGGGCAAGTTCGTCACCTGCAGAAAAACGGCAGCGGTCAAGCACGCGTTCGCCATGGCTCCGAGCTGGGGGTCGTAGCCACGGAAGATAATGTTGCCCTGCTTCTGCGTAAAAACCGAGAAAGCGCCGGCATACAGTTTTCTTGGATTGTGTGTGTGCGTGTCTTCGCACGGAATGCTACGACTTCGTGCTTCGAAGTTCGAGCCGTTACCCAAAACACTGCGGACAAGTTTCACACACCCAGGTTGATGTCGGAATCAGCTAGCTGCTGCACTGGATGGCTGCCGCAAAAATTCAGCAGCAGGCACGACCCCACAAATATGGAAATGGCCGGAAAGTCGGCAACATAAACACATCCTGCAAGTCCCGGGCGAAACAGTAGCCCCAAGAGGCGCCACGTATCCGTTGATGAGGTGAAATCGTCCATGCTCGGAATGCACTCAATGCATTCATGTTCGGAAACAACCACAAGCAGTTGTCATTGCGGCGAGTACACGTATAAGTGCAATTTCAACCGAAGTTCGATCGAGTGATTGTGTGAGAAGCATAGAATGTGTTCATATCGAGCGGGGTGTCTTCTTGCTTGCTCGCAAGTTCGTCGACTTCATCACACTACAATTCTTGCACCAAAAGCGTTCGGCACGACAAAGATCGACAAGGTGTTCAGATGCATGATTTCAACATTAACGTGAAAACACGATGCGCATGTTGACGATGGCTATCCTTATCTTCATCTGAATCTTGGAACCCACCCAAACAATCTCGCATCATTCGGCCATGTTAATTCATTCAATGCAGAAAAAACGAACCAAAACAGACTTGCTAAACTCGCCCGACTCGTCCACAACAGACTGGCATAACTGAGCCAGCCGTAGATTTTTTGGCTTGCATATTACAGGTATGTATACATATACATATATATGTGGTGCGGACCTGTGGGGTCTATTGGCGATCCTTCAGTGTTCTCTTCAAGTCAATGATGACAAAGGAATCGGCATGGGGTTGGACGGGGTGAACTCTTCATTCTCTCGTCTCTCCCTCTCTCCTTCCTTTGTTTGATCCTTCTTCTCTTTTCTTTTCAGTCCGCCTTCTTCTTTCAATGACACGGGTGACACGAAGGAAGGAAAACGGACGACGTCAATTGTTCTCGACGTGTTTTCTTCTTCTGTTGCTTACCTCTCAGGTTGTCTCCCTTTTGCTTCTCGCTCTCTCTCGTTCTCGCTCTCCCTCTCTCTCTCTCTCTCTCTCTCCTGTCCCTCTTTGCCCTCATCTCTCCCCTCTCCTCGTGCCCCACTCTTTTCTGCGAAGATAGAGGAAGGAACGGGAAACACAAACGAAGAGATCAGATGAAGAAAAACGGTGGGGAAAAGACAGGTGAATTTCTCCTTCGCGACATAACAAAGGAAAAATGACAACAACAGGGAGCTGGGAGAAAGCAAGTTCAGGAAAGTGTTCCACCACGCAACAACAAAGGCTACGGCTTTCGAGCTTGTAAATTGAGCGAGTTACAACGAGCAGCAGCAAAGGTAAAGCGGACTCACCACGGTTCACTCGCTCAGCTTTTTGTTTCGGCTGCCGGAAAGACGACTGCAGCTCCAGCGACGGCTGACCCGTTCGACCTTTGGTCAAAAGCGGGTCTGAAAGCAAGCTGCTGTGCAGTCTTCGCAAAAGCCCGTATCGTAAGCATACAGTATGAAGCAACAGCGTGCGAAGAGAAGGCCAATAAAGAAGCAACATCATGAAAAAGACCAGCGAAGCACAGCCGACAGCGGAAAAACCTGCGTATAGCCCACGGGTAGGAGCCAACGCATAAGCGGACTGGCACTCTGAAACAGAGAGAAGCAGGTCGGCCTTTCCTCACCTCCTACGCGACTGCACATCTGCTAGCAGCATATATGTGGTGAATGTGGAGAGAGCGTGTAGCCCCAGGCAAGCGCGGGCGAGTAAAAGATTTTCAGCAAAGAGTTCCACCACGCAACAACAAAGGCACGGTTTTCGAGCTTGTAAGAAGCAGCAAAGGTAAAGCGGACTCACCACGGTTCTCTCATTCAGCTTTTGGTGTCGGCGGAAAAACGACTGCAGCTCCAACAACGGCTGACCCATTCGACTTTTGGTCAAAAGCGGATTTGAAGCTGCTATGCAGTCATTGGCAAAAGCCCTGGTGGGAAACTAGCAAGCCGAAACCTCGCCCCGAAAGCCTTTTGAGCTGCGCACATCGGGACATTGTAAAGTCAGCCAATGGAGTGCAGCCGGACCTGATTGCACTCCCGGCGGCCACGAAGTAAAACGTAATGCAATGTTTGGCCAAGTGGTGCAACACTAAAATAGAATCGACTACTCGTTGTGGTGCACACGACCTCGGCAAAATTGAAGCGGTATTGGCGGACAGCGTGGCACGTGCTGGGTGGAAAGAAGTTTCGAATCAGAGCTCATGAACATTTTCGAAGAGTTTTTGGCCTTGAACATGAACCAAACAATTTCAAGGTTTGGAGCGTCCAAGACGCTGCTTTGACTGGTTCCCAGGCCTTCTAATGCAAAACTTTAGAGTGCTGGTTGTTGCAATGACAGAAACTGCACGAAAACCTGAAAATTTGAGGTTAGGGGTTGCTTTGACTGGCTCCAAGGCCTTGTGAGTTTGTGTTATAATTCAAACAATCGCCGTCTGCTCCATTAAGAGGTCTGCATCGAAAGACAGGCTAATTCTTAATTTTGTGTTGCTTTTTCTTTGTCTTTTGAATTTCTTGGTGTTTCATTCTATTTTTCCAGCTTTTAATCCACCAAAGCCTTTCTCTTATCGTGTTGCTTAATTTGTGTACCTCTCTTTGTCTTTAGAATTTTCTCGTTCTCTTTGTCTTTTGAATTTCTTTTTATTTCATTCCAGTTTTCTTCATTTTTTCATATCTTTAAAGCAAGTTTGTGCAGCATTTCCTTTTTTTCGTGAGCTTCATCCAACATCATGATGGTATTGTTCCAAGCATTTTCACCAAAACCAAAGCTCAATGCAAACAATACAAATCTTCTTGCAAGAATTTTAAAGCTTCACTATGAGCTGTTCGATTGTAGAATCGTTTATTT